ATGATTCGGGGCTCTGGGCGCCCGAGTTCTCTGGGGTAACTCGGGCCCGGGGCAACTCGGGTTCGGATTCCCGAAAAACGAGCCCGAGTTAGCCCTGACCCGAGTTACCCCTGATAACTCGGGCGCCCAAAGAAACCCGAGTCGACAACATACCGTAATATATTGGGGGCGCACTTTCGTTGCTTCCGCAGGCGTCCGCCGGCTGCTGCCGGCGGAGACGCCGCCTTGCCTCCGCCAGCTTCCGCCGCCAGTCCGCCGCCTGCCGCCGAGGGGGGGACAGCACGACGTCCCAGGCCCTCAGACCTCCGACGTCATGATTTTCGTCGCGGCGTGGACCCCATGGTCCCGACCCCTTCCTGGAGGCCTGGAAATGGGCACCAACACCAACACAGGGGGGTGCCTCCACAGGGGGAAGGTGATCCCAGCTTTCGGTGTTGGTGGTAATATTTCGGCCACCCCCCGGGAGCCCGGGAGCGGCCAAGAGGGGGGTGTCCAAGAGGGGTGGGTGCAAATCATGACCGGCGGCATGTGCGCGGCCCAGCGGGGGGGCCAGGGACGTAATGAAATGAGAAGAGGCGCCATGAAATCTGGGGAAATATCATAGCCCCCGCCATGATATCCACCCCCCCCCCTCTTTTCCGCTCCCGAGGACCCCATGGTCCCGACCCCTTCCCCTGGGGCCGGTTTTTCCTTCCGAGCCGCTTGGGACGGCCCCGGAGCCCGGCGAGGGCTCCCCAGAGTCGGGGATGGACAGACCTCCCTTCAGTAAAACGTGGTTTCGTGAAAACGACCTCGGGCCCAAACCTGGCGGGCGCCAGCCTGGAAGATAGCGGCCGCGGCGCCCTCTCGAGAACCGAAAACGGACAGTTCACTAATCGACGTGTCACTGTTGGGGGTTCTGTCCACCCCCAGAGTGAAGGGGCCCCAGGACACACCAATAAATACACACAAATAATGATATTCCCCATATTCTCTCATATTTTCTGGGTGTTTGTCTTCCCCCCCACTTCCCATATTTTCCCATGTTTTCTGGGGAATCGAAGATTAATTGTGTCTGTGTGCTTTTTTCCTCTCCTGACCAGAGGCCGAAGGGTGCCGAGGCGATGGTTGCCACGAGCCGCGGGGAGGTCTGGGCGCCCCTGGCCAGGCTTCGGGGGCGCGAGCAGCCCGGCGGGTCTCGGCAGGCCTCCCCCCCGGCCCGCGAGCCACGAGCTCGCGAGCGCGCCAGGAGACGGAGCCAGGACGAGGCTAAGCTGTTTTATGTTTTTTTTTATTTTTATTTTTATTTGTTTGGGAAACTTGTATACACTTCTCGATGTGTGCGTGTCATCCTTGCGCAGGGCCCATGCTAATCCTCTCTGTATCGTTCCGATGTTAACGGATGATCCCCGAAGGGAATCCAGCACGAGGGCAAACTTCGGCGAGGATGAGTCGAGGGTCTCTGAGGTCTGGCGGCTCTGGAGGATGCATCTCGCGCCGCGGCCTCCTCAAGGAGTTCCAGAACGCTCTGAGAGCCTCCTCCTCCTCCTCCTCCTCCTCCTCCTCCTCCTCCCCTCCTCCTCCTCTCGCTCCTTCTCTCCTCCTCCTCCTCCTCCTCTTCCTTCTCCTCCCCTCCTCCCTCTTCCTCCTCCTCTCTCCTCCTCCTCTTCCTCCTCCTCCTCCTTTCCTCCTCCTCCGCCTCCTCCTCCGCCTCCTCCTCCTCCTCCTCCACCTCCTCCTCCTCCTCCTCCTCCTCGTTCGGGAACGCTCTGGAACGGACCCTGGGCGCATGACCTTGGCGCCCACCCTGCCTGTGTCGGAGGTGTTCCGACGACGTGTGCGCCAATCGTCGCATCTTCTGCCTTCAACCCCGTTCTGTTGCGGGTGGAGCCCCGCAGCCGCCAACGAGCGGTCGGGAGGTCTGGCGCGACCTGGCCTCTGGATGCTGTTGTTTTCGGACTTCCAGCGTGGGCTCAGCGTCGGATTTGTCCTCGTCCGAGCCCCGTCCGACGCCATCCTCCCATGACCAGCAGCGCGAGGCGCGCAAGCCGCCCAGACCTCCGGCGCCACGAGAAGGCGGCCCGTCGCGACCAGAAGACACCATCCACCAGAGGCTGTCGCACGTTCGCGCGTGTCGGGATCCCGGCTGGCCGTCCACACCTCCCACCCGCCGTGCGATGGCCCCAATGGCACCGTCATAGGGGCCTTCTTGAGGGCCTGCTTGGGCCGTCTGGGAGGCCCCTGGGGGGGCCAGCCCAAGAGGCTTTAGACATTTGTTGATGATTTGGGCAAGCTCATCCTCCTTCTCCTCCTCCTCCTCCTCCTCCTCCTCCTCCTCCTCCTCCTCCTCCTCCTCCTCCCAAGTCGGCCGCAGAGGCACCCAAGAGGGCCAGAGAGGCCTCCCATGGCCCCGAGAGCAGCCCAAGAGTAGGAGCCCGACCTGACATTCCGAGCGCTGTACCCCGCCGTGGCCACCGAGATCCCAATTGGCCCAAGTAAACCATCAAGAGGCGTCCCAAGAGACCCCTGGTCCACCACCCGAGCACGTTGGCGGGTTGAGCCGAAGCGCACTATAGATACCATTCTGCCAATGAAGAGTTACACTTCTCAAAACGCAAGTGCTACCAGAAGCAACCACCCAAGAAGAGTTACGGACAGCCTGGGAACCTTTGTGCAAGAACAACGAGACAACACGTCGTCTGGCGAGAGGGGCCGGCAATATTCAGAATGAGCAGCTTCATCGGAGAAACAGAAAGCGGGAAGGCAGAGGGACCCTCACATCCGACATCCAGTTTTGCTTCGTGGGCCCGAGGCCCACAACGGGTCTCCCGATGCCAGAACCGAACGGAGACCCACCGTCACCATTTCTGCTGCGACGCCCGAGGTCTGAGTCCTCCGCCCGCGATCGACTCCTAGGCGCTCGGACCCGAATCCGGAGGCGGCTCCCGCCGTAGCTGCTCCAGGAGACCGAGCAAAGCGCGACCCTCGATCGACGAGGACGATGACGAGGACGAGGAAGGCCGTCGTTCTGACATCCCAGGCGGCAGGCCTCCGCCGTGCAGGCACCAGGCTTCCACCTGGGGTGTGGACCCTATTGCCGCAACCACCCTCTTCGTCTCCCCGCTGCTCCCGTCCTCGCTCCTCCCTCCCTCATTCGTTCCCTGGGAGAGGAGGAGGAGGAGGGGGAGGAGGAGGAGGAGGAGGAGGAGGAGGAGGAGGAGGAGGAGGAGGAGGAGGAGGAGGAGAAGGAGGAGGGGGAGGGGGAGGAGGAGGAGAGGAGGAGGAGAGGAGGAGGAGGAGGAGGAGGAGGAGGAGGAGGAGGAGGAGGAGAGGAGGGGGAGGGGGAGGAGGAGGGGAGGGGAGGAGGAGGAGGAGGAGGAGGAGGAGGAGGAGGAGGAGGTGGTGGAGGAGGAGGAGGAGGAGAGGAGGAGGAGAGCGGCAGCGTGCGGCGCACTCTCATGCTTGCAGGAAACAGGAGGAGGAGGAGGAGGAGTGCGAGGAGGACGAGGATGAAGAAGGAGGAGGAGGAGGAGGAGGAGGAGGAGGAGGAGAAGGAGTGGGAGGAGGAGGATGAAGGAGGAGGAGGAGCAGGAGGACCAGAGTACATCCAGGATGCATCCCGTCCCAAGCCCCCTCACCATATAAAGCCCCCGAGAAGTATCCCTTTCCACGGCGGGAAGCGCCCCCCACCCCCTTGAATGGTGAGCGCCCGGTGGACATGCCACTCCAGTGATGACCGCACTAAAAGTTTGCGAGCGATCCACCTCCATGATTGCAGCTAGGAAGCGACACAGAGGGACAGGAGTGTCACGGTCAGCTCGAAGAAGCGTCCCGCGACAGCCCCGATTGTTCTGGACAATGGTAGGGTCTCTATATCCGTGGAAGCGCTGCTCACTCTAAAAAGGTCTGGCCATAACGCACGCGGAAGTCTGGATCGGCAGCCCCATTTCAAACAAGGAGCCGCTTTCCACCCGTGTGATTGCAGAATGAGGAGGGGGAGCAGGAGGAGAAGGAGAGGGAGGAGGAAAGAGGAGGACGAGGAGGAGGAGGAGGAATAAGAAGAAGAAGAAGAAGAAGACGAAGCAGAATACTAATAGCAACAAAAACACTAAAAAATAACGCCACGGGCTTCCTCCGATGGCACCCCCGCTCCGCCCTCGTTCTCCCCCCCCTCGGTCGTCTCCGCGCTGCCGATGGGCGAAAGCATGGGCCCAGGCAGGAGGAGAAAGGAGGCCCGCGACCAGTTGTACGCGAGGGGCGCGCGCCAGACTGATCAAGACCGCATACAGCATTGTCCCTTATACTGTGAGCCCGGCCAACATCCTCGCTTCTCCGCCCCTCCTGATCGAGGAGGAGGAGGAGGAGAAGAAGGAGGAGGAGGGGGAGAAGGAGGAGAAGGAGGAGGAGGAGGAGAGCCGCTCTGGCTCCTGAGGCTGCGGCCCAAGAGTTCCTGCAAGCATGGTCCGAAAGGACTCCGGCTGCAAGAACCACCTCTCTGACCCTCGTGGAAGGAAGCCGCTGCGATGGCCCGCCGCCCGTCGCCCAGGCTGCCAGCCTCGCAGCGGTGGAGGCGGCCACCCGTGGGGCCGGCCACCGCCGTGGCAGGCCTCCGGGAGCAGCGTGCTCGCAGGGCCTCGCAGCTCGCCCCTGGGGGTGCGGAGGAAGATAAGGAGGAGGAGGAGGAGGAGGAGGAGGAGGAGGGAGGAGGAGGCGGAGGAGGAGGAGGAGGAGGCAGGTAGGGGGAGGGGGAGGGGGCGGGGGGAGGAGGAGGAGTGAGGGAGGAGGAGGACGGAGGAGGAGCTAGGCGGAGGTATGAGCGAGAGACGAGACGAGAGCGGATGGTAGGCACCCAGGGCGAGACCGCCCCCCTTCCATGTGTCCGCCAATGCGGCAAGGGCGCCCCGCTGGCAAACCGCCAGCGCGCGCTCACGGCGGCCACTGGGTTCGATCCTTCGGCCACTGGCGGTGGCGAGAAGGCGACAAGAAGAAGAAGGGCTCCGAGGGCACCGCTGGTGGCGAGAATGTGCAGCAGCCGAAGGACTCGAAAGCAACAGCTCCCAACATCGGCCCGTCCGCGGCGCTGGCTATCCTGGAGCCTGGACATGGGCAGCAGCATCGCCAAGACGGAACGGGAAAATATCAACAAGCCCGCCGCGGACGCGGCCGTGCCCAAGGCCAACACTCACCACTCGGTGGTGCAGACGGCCACGTGGCGCGATTCCAAGGCGCAGCAGAAACTCGACAAGAGCAGGAAGGTGACCGACGCGGCCGCGGACGCGCTCGCCGACGCCCAGGCCACTTGGGTCCATGCGCACAGCGAGTGCATGCTGGCGCAGACGGCTTCCAACGAGACGCAGGAGGCGCTGGAGGGGGTCCGCCAGGTCGAGGGCGCGGGCCTGGAGCCCGAGGCGCCGAACCACATCTCGGAGGAGAAGCAAGAAGCAGTCAAACTCGGAGGAGAAGCAGTCTATGGCGCAAGTCCCCCTGGGGAGCCTGGTGCGCGGCGGTCCTGCGCCCGCAGTTCCACGGGCAAGAGGTGGCCGAGTTGGGCAGCGGCGGTCGAGAAAGCCGGTGCGCCTCGCAGCCACAGCCAACGCCGAAGAGGCAGCTGTCGCTTCTTGGGAGGCCGGTGCTCCTCCTTCTCTTCCAGGCGCCGGCGGGGCAGGCCTCGCCGGCGCGGGCGGTGGTGCCCCCGCAGCCAGCTCAACGGGGAGCGCCGTGGACGGCTCTGGAACGCTCGGCTCAACAGTGGGAGCGGGCTCGGCTGCTGCTGGCGGCGTGGGCAAGCAGGACAGGCTCCAGGAACGGCTGGCGGAGGGCGCCAGCCTCCAGGGTGGCCACCACGGCGCCTCATCAGTGAGGGTGGCGGCTCGCGGCGGCGTCAGGGGCGACGACAGCAAGACGCCCTGGACCTGCACGTGCGGGCGGCACAGAGGGAAGCTGGGCATCACGGACCAGATGCAGGGCATGCAAAGCCTCAGCCCCTTCTGCCTCTGCCACTCAAATGACATTCGGCACGGCATGCCAAGGAACGAGCAAAGACACAGATCTACTGCGGTGGTCTCTTCCACGACTCACCTGGCAGTAGAACAAGAATTCACGTCAACACCACGGCCTGACTGACGAGCGTCCCCGAATACCAGATTTCCTCCACGGGCTGAGCTTCAGCAATGCCTCCGCTGCATCTTGAGTTCGCCTGCAAAAACAAGCAAAGAAACCAGCAATGATGTTGCAATCCCGTCGGTGCCACACCCTTCGCGACGGCGTCCACCTTCGCGAAAGGATGCTGACGAGGGATTGGGCAATGCGTTCTCGAACAGGTGCGTGACCGCTGAAAACATGCGGTGCCAGGTTTGTTTCCTGGGCACAAGCACCTGCCCACCTAAAAAGAGCAGCGCTTGCTCATCTTCGAGAGAGCGTGATCCACCGCCGCTTTACTGTGGAAAATTGCCAACCTTTTCCTCCGGAACCCGGGGGTCTCC